TCCAACTGCCAGCAACTTGCGGAAGATCAGGCAGCATCGGGAGGAGAACCGAATCACCAGAATAATAAGTGCAACTCCTGCTGGAGCCAGCAGAAACACACTGATGAGACCAATGATGCTCATGCCTATTGCCCCAAAAGGATCCCGTCTGTACAATCTGGCAGCGGCAAAGTCGAAGTTCACCCACATGCAAGGAAGAGCTGAAGTGACTACCAAGGAATATGGACAAAACATCCCTAAAGAGTAGCTTAACGCATCTTTCAACCTGCTCCGCACCGACATTTCAAACTCCTCAATAGAGCCAAACCACTGTTGAACGCACTGTACCATAACATGGCGGTCACATGGTATGTCTTCTCCGCTTGGATCTTTATGATTCACCGAGCAGCAATAGCATTTTGCATCTGCAACGCTAAAATTCCGCAACTCCTCCTGCATCTTCTCAACGCTCAAGACGTGGTGAACTGCAACTGTGGACAGCAACCAACCATAAGCACAGTAGCCAAAGAGGAGAATGTATGTCGTCACTTGGCTACCAAAGGGTAGCACAACGTAGAAGCCCCACATCAAGAAGTTCCAGATAATCGATGCAATCACGAACTGTGCAAGAGAGGTAGGCAGGACCACCACATCCTTATCCTCGTGGGTCTTCAAGAACGCTGCCAACTCGAAAATGCACCACAGCCTGAGCTTGAGAGTGGAAATCACTTATCACCATGCGAGTGTGAACACACAAGGAACAAGGGTGAACTTTGCTTGTGATTCTTCCTTTATTGGAATCGTTGCCTGGTCCTTTGCTGGAATCTTACTTCCGGGCGCAGTTTGTTCATGTTTTTTCTTCTGACTTGGTTGCTGTTTCGAATCCTCAGCCCGACCCCCTCCCGCATTAGCAAGAAGTGTTCGACCGGTATTGACTGCCAAATGACGCGGATCGTCTTCAAGTCTCTTCCTTCTAGCTAGTGTGGGCACGCGCTTGGATTACTTTTGGCTTGGCTTGGCGCAATCCATCCTCTCGCGATCCAGCCTTTGGAAGTTTCGCATTCAATTGCGTTCACGTGCACCTGCTTGAAGGGCTCGCAAGAACGACCACACGGATGCATGAGGCGCTGCCCCGCGGCTAAGCATGGAACCCATTTTCCGACTGTTTGCTTCTAAACTATACTTGTTGAACGTCTAGACTCTAAACACTCAAGTTTGATCGGATTCTTGGAACAATCTACCTTGATTGATGTGACACTCACATTTCTATTTACTAGGTTTGAGTCAAAACTCCTGGAAGATAAAAGTCCTTAATAATGATATTGAATTTTCATGAATTTTCAATATGTTCACCTGACAAATGCCTCTGACTTCCAACCTGCGTCAACCAGTATTCAAATTCGACGGAGAAACTTCTCCCACACCATTCCCTGCATCCGTGCGCGAATCTGACATCTTCCGAACCGTGCACGCAGAAAAACACCTGTTCGGTCAGTGATGTGCAGTCTACTGGTGCGCGTAGGAAAGATCGAAGCCACCGAGCCACTCTTCGTTTCAATATGATTCAATATGCCTTTACAGTACATACATAATCCTATGTGTATATTATACATATAGAAAATACAAAAGTGCGGCAATTCGCACAGGTCATCGTGCAAATGAACACTTCCCCAGCAGAACATTTGGTCCAAAATGTTCCAACACCTTGGAAGTACATAAACCAAGATTATATAAAGGTACCCAGATTCTTTAGTCTGGGTTCCTGTTCGTACCCCCTGTCAATTTAGCAGCATAAAACATCATAAAACCTCATGATTTGTCCAAAGATTCTGTTCCCAGATGGGGTGCAGCTTTAAGGCCAAAAGGGTTGGTATATAGGTATGGCAAAGAACCAATGCTCAGGGGTCCCCCAAAAAATAACAAACAAGTGCCTAGAAGCCGCTGGCAATAGGTGCTTTCCCAAATCACCAAGAGCTTTCTCGATCGCTTCAGGCATGCACCGATATTCAACACACCCTCCGCTTTCTCATGCTCATCCCTTTGGTTGATGCAAAGGCGATCCAAAAAGACCGGCTCCTTCGGAGCGCGGAAGATCAACACCAACACGAAGCAAAGCACGGCAGTGCAAACCGTCCATGGTGCCACGAAGAGCGGCTCTGAGCCCCAACGAGCCGCTTTCCTGAAGCCTGGTAGAAGATCGAACATGAAAAGGATCATCGCTAGCAGGGCCATCAAGTTGCTGACAATGACAGCAGCTTTCCAGTTGTAGAAAAGTAGCAAGGTCAGCGTCTTGGACCAACGTGACGCCTGCCAGCTGTGGGAGATGAATTTTGCAATCTCCTCCACTACCAAGCTGTGTTTGAACTCCACCTGTGTGGATGTGCGCAGGACTCGACCAAACCTCCTGAGCACCCGATGAATGGGTACGGCTCGCAGGAACTTCCGGTTGGTCAAGTCCATGCGTGAGAGCCACGACACCACCAGGTCCATGTCCGTCTCTGCGTGCTCTGCCGCCGGCTCTGCCGGCTCCGCCGTGCTTGCCGGATCGACCAAGACCGGCACCGGACTCGCGATCCCCTCGTCGGAGGGAACGGATGCATCGACGGGCTCGATCTCCATGGCTCCAGCGGCAGTGGAAAAAAAGAGAAAATTCGCCTTCGGTTGGGCGGAAAATGATGGAAAATGGCTTTCCTGAAGCTTGAGTAGAAGTTCTAGTATAGCTGTTGGTTTGTTGAGCTGGAAAAAGAAGAAAGAGGTACGAGTACAAGAGCGACGCCTCGCTCTAGGCTGGAAGAGCAGATGACGCACCAGGAAAGTAGATGGCACAACTCCTCTTGATTTGGTGATCGGCTGTAGTCAGTCAAGCTCTCATTAGATTCCTTAGATCTATTTTTCGGAGGTTTGCCATCTACGAACTTCTTCTGGTGTACTGCTTTTCTTTGCCTCTCGCCCCTTGATCCAGTCCGGCGATGTTGCAGCCCAATCCCGAGATTGGTGTTATCCAAAGCTTTTTGCCAGATCTGATCGCATTCTTGATTGAATTGATTGACATTTTATAATTGACAATTCAACAACGTCACCATATAATTGAATACTATCTGTTCCGCTCCAAATTCAAAAGACACATGGGTGCATCACACACAAACTAACTCAATACAGTACAAAGCGCAAATAATATCTCAATGAATCTCAATGAGGTGTCTCTCCGATCTCCGCTGGAGTCTCGTCCAATCACCCAGATCTCGTCCGCTGCAACCGGTCCATCCCGGTCAGAGCTTCTCCACAAGATCGTCTTGAAACCGGCCTGAGAGTATCCGAATGGAAGAGGCAGGTTATCGCAGCACCTACTCGATTGAGTTGCATGAGTTGAGTGGTGGTCAGTCCGGTGTCCAAGTGACACACCGTCAGAATACCTGTTGTACTGTTACATAATATATGATTCATAGTAGACATTAAATAGAGATGTTCGGACGTATCCAGGACATATCCAGTGACCGGCCTCGGAGTTGGAGCCCAGCAAGAAAGCACTTCACCCAAAAGAAGGCAGAAAACCCCTCCCTCCGACCATAGAATCTGATAGACTGTGCTCTTTCCTATCTGCCATGAGGAAATCGTCACATATCAGCACCAGTTTTGACGGAGCTCCAGCTGCCTTCCAATAACACATCCCGTTGATTCTCTTTGCATCTCGAAAGCTCATTGGTTGCTGGGGGCAGGCCCACTTCATTCCGTCCGAAGTCATCCAAGGGCAAACCACCCCCCATCCGAATACTTGGCAGCTTTCATTGAGCACGTCTTGGAGGGTGGGTGATTCTGATTCATCAGATCAGCAACATGAGGTGCCGCAGTCGTCTGCAAAAGCAGCTTATATAACGACATTAAGCTCGAACGACGAAGCGCTGGGCGAGAGCAGAGCGGATCTGGTGGAGGATGGAAGGTCGAAGGATGGAAAGCAGCTGTGGGTAGCCGCGGTAGCCTCCTTTCCCACTCAGTCAGGGAACTGACTATCACTGGCTCTGTGCCTGCATCTTCCTTCGACCTTAGAGTGTGGGATACTAGATTCGCCTCCATGGGTTCGGGTCTCAACTGAAATTCGTCCAGTACAGATGAAAAGCATACAAAAGCCAGGCCAGGCCTGGGCATGTCCAGTTCCAGCTTCCTTGAACCAGCAACCAGCCACCTTATCAACCTATCATCCACCTGTCTGTGCCCTACTTGCTTGCCCTTTCTGCATCAAATCAACCCTCAGTCAGCCACACCTCACCCTCAGCCTCAGTCAGGCACCTCCTCCACGGTCGACTGCATGGATCGATCAACAAGGCAGTTTCAGAGCCCAAAATGCTGCAGGTTTTGGTCGACAATTAAACCAAGCCATGGTGGCGTCCAACTTCAGCTGGATAATGATACACCATGCCAATGCCATTATCTACGTCCACATCTGTCCACGTGCGGATCAACCACTGCATTGGTCCTTCAATGCATCCCCTCAACCAAAACACACCATCCCCTCCACCTTCTGCATGCTTGAACCCAACTGTTTGGTGCACAATAACCAAAGCAGTCCAAGGAAACTGTTCCAATCATGAGGATTAATTCTTAGCACCATGTGGCACTGAAAAACGGATTGGTCACCGTCACCGGTGATTGTTAATTGATGAGGACATACTGTTTCATGGAATGACGGCATTGGAACCAATCCCCTGATCCTCAGCTTGGAAAACCAGCGAATTTGCAATGGTTGGATCATCGGACAGTTGTTGTCCAGCATCCACACGGAAGATCCGAGGCAAAACTTCACCGGCCATGCGGAAAATACCTGTGCAGAATCCTGTGCCCAACTTCTGCAACCACACCCAGAGAACAAGGCCTCTTGTTTCCGCAAGATAAACAAATTCTGGACTTTTTGTGGTCAACTGACTCTACTTCACTGCTCCAAAAATACACATCTGCAATGACCATGAACAGCTCTGGGAATCTGAGATGCCAAACCTGAAGCTTCGTACACGGAGTCCGTCAATTTGGTGCCCCAGAAGTGGGGATTCCAGACCAAGGGCAAACAGTGAGGCCTTCTGGGCGTCCCGAATCGTCGGGTATCGTTCTCTCAGCCGCTATTCATCATGGTAATGGATTTGTCCTGAGGGGCAAACTTGGCCAAAGTTGGAGCTGTTATAGCTGCCCTAGCTGTGTGTTTCATCGAAATATAGACATGTGACACACAGACCTATATGTGTGTACATAATATAAATATACAAATATCAACACAAAATCATAAGCAACTGCTGGCCTGTCACACAAGTGCAGAATAGTACCGGGATCTTTGACATATGGCCTCGTGTAACCACCTCATGATACCAGTGTCGCTGGCATCCCCATGCCAATGAATAGTGATCAGGCCAAATGCTGGCCAACCCTATAAACACACCTGTGTCCCAAGCCTCAAGCTCAAAACTTGTCAAAGGACAGTGAGCCGACAAGACTCAACATGTGATTTATCTTTCGAAGATGAAAGCTCTGCGGAATAGACAAAAACTGCTAATTCTACGGCCACATCTGCTGCCCGAGCTTGTTAGTTTTGTGATTTCTTTCTTATTCTGTCTTGATGTCACCCACACCTAAGTGAAATTCAAACGTGCCTGAAAGGTGGCCATATCCGCCTTGAGTTCAGGATCTGTTAGGACCTGAGTTCGCTGACGCCATGGGTTCCTGCTTCTTTTCTTTCTTTCTCTCCCTTTCAGCGCTTGGGGCAAATGAGCATTTCCAAGCCCAACCAGGCAGGTTCCGACTGATGCAGCAGCATCTGTCAGCAAAATCACGCAACGTCTCATTTCAAGCTGAAGACCGCCCAACTTCTGACTACTCCTCCCATGTGTCTGGTCTCATCTTGGAGGATCCGCACCACTCGACACCTGAGGATCCGCACGTGAAGCATGAAAATGCCCTTGGACTTGAACGCCGCATCCATAGCGCCTGGCGCGTTTTTGGCTCACCGCCATTGATCCGCACTGGAGATGGAGATCACCCCCTGCCAAAACCTCCAGGAGAACACTGTTCGAGGGTGATGGTGGAGAAAGCGAGAGCCCTTGAAGGCCGATGAAACATGATGAAATTATATATATATATATATTAATTGCGACATTCATGCGCAGGAAATGTAATTACTGTCCTTGGTCCTCCTGCAATGAATCGGCGTTTGTTTGCTGCAGGTGAGAGCCCCGTTGAAACGATAAACAGAAATCTGTTCTGTCTGTGTGGGAAGCTCCAAGCACCCTTCCAGGATCCAACGAGTCAATGGATATCCGCCCAAACGAGGGCAATCCGAAGGAAACGAGTCATGCTCGATTGTGCCTGGAAAACTGTCCAATTCCCATCCGCAAACAGTATAGGATTTGGCAAATGCATGTGCAGTGGCACTGCGGAACTATCCGCTACATAGCACTCAAATCATTTGAGCACAAGGAATTGCATGGAATTGCCCTGAGCCAAAGATTGTCCAACAAAAACAGAGATTCCATGGTAGCCCCCAAAGGCACCAGTTGGCAAAAGAACAAAGGTAAATTGGTAACTCCCACTTGGTTGAGGAAGAGTCATGCGTCTTCCCCTGCAAAAGGCAAAATGCAAAGGCAAACTCATAGTTGGTAGATACATGTAGATACCCTGAAGTGGTTCGTTCCACGTAATGTGCACGCAATGTAGCACCCCCATAGTTTTTTCCTCACCTTCGAGCTGCTCGCAAGAGGAGACCTGCAGGCAGCACACTGCCCTGTTTGGGCCTTCACCTGTGTTTGGGCCTCCAAAATTGGTCCCCACAGGCCGCAACAAACTCGTCAACAAAACCGTAGAGCATCTTGTGTCAACGTCTTCACCGCAAATCAAAAAGCAGCTGAACCACTACAGGTCTGACTCGTTTGTCCCAGTCTTCCACCCGTTCAACGAATTCAAAGAGAATGCCAACAGCCACAACCTCTCTGACGATTCCGCCTGGAGGCCATCGCCACCGTAAGCTTTCGCAAGCATGACAAAGTCGATATTGCTCACCAAGTCACAGCCCTCTGCCTCGAAAACCCATTTTGACAGGTTTGTTTCATCATCTTTGATTTTTGACAGGTTTGGCCAATTATTTGGGCGTGCATCCACTTCAAGGGAAGAAGAAGACTGTAGTCGTTAAATGGAAACGTGGTCTCGGAGACAGACATGTTGGAAAAATAGAGTTCGTAATCGTGTTCTTCATGTTCTAGTAGTCAAGCACTTTCAGCAAAACACAAAACTATGAAACTATTTATCCTTTCAATTCCGGGTAGCCATCGATTTCAACAGACTGCCATCAGCTTCACAACAATGTGATCATATGTGATCACCTCAATGTTGTCATCGACGAGTTGTGTCGACCATTTTCGTTGATTACATGGATGATGCGACTAACACTCTGAACTGAACCCAACTCGGGCTTTCAAAGTTGGCTGTAGACACAGCCCAATAGCAGTGAACCACCCTCACGATGAGGAAGTTGAGGAAAAACACATGTTCAGGAACACATGAAGTCAACCCTTACGGTGCCTGTTAAACTGTTATTCAGCCGTTAGAGGACGCAGAATGACAGGCACTCACTCTGAATGTTCCACATACAAACGCGCTCGTTTGCAAGCTTCCATCCAGGCGAACCCCCCATCTGCGCATCATCTTGCGTCGATGCAAGGCGTGATTTCTGTGCTGAGCAGATGGTTCATTCAAATCAGTGGCTCCGACTACCTACACTGTAGGGTCATTGGATATGAAGCTGTGGCCCATTGGAAACCCCAGCTTTGCCCACTCCAAGGAATATCTATGCCTGGCTGCACCCTCAAATCCGAAGACAACACGGCCAAGCTTGCTGTTGTCCAGGAGAATGATGACCAAGCCTCAACAATGCAACTCCTATCGGTCCTATTGGGCTTCCGAGAGCCCTTTTCTAAGTATAAAGCATCGCTCCTGACTGCCAATGGAACCTACTTTGAAGATCCTGACGTCAGGGCCAAAAAGCCTAAAATTGACCGTATATAAATTCCGTGTCCATGTCATGCACGCCCCACTGCTAAATTCCACTGTTCCTTTGTCGTGTAATTGGCTGATTTCCAACGGAGGAAGTCACAGATCCTTTTTGGTCGAAGCCACTGTGCTCGTCGGAGGACTCCTCGAAGACTTGCTTCGCAGTGCCCAGCTCGTTGATGGTCATCCTGACAAACCGACGAAGGGCAAACGAGACGCGCAGCTTCAAAGGATCACTGGAGAAAGATGGGGAAAGGCTTGCGACTCTGCCTTTAAACCAAAGTTATATAATTTGCCATCATTTGCTACATCCTTGTGAAGCAGAGTTCTTTGTCCTCACAGCTTCTCACTTTTCACTCGACACCATCCCAACAGTGCGGAAACGTACAGCTTCTGCCAGAAAACATCCTTTTCAGCACCTCTCTAGAGAGTGGTTCTCTAGAGAGTGGTTACTCTGGTACCTCCATCCTGGCACTGGAGCACGACATCGGTCATCGGGGACGGGCCGAGACACTGAATCCCTCCATCGCCAGCGACCACCACAGCCCGGCCAGTCGACCCACGAACCAAGCTGGCCACCAAACCAGCACAAAGGCCGTAGCCCATCGTGCCCAAGCGCTCGGAAGACAAGGTCCTGCAAGCACTGGAGACTGGAGTCGTTGGATCGATCAATCCATCGGAGTTTCCAACGTGGAATCCGTATCTGCACACAGGAGCCATGAGGCTGCGATGGACCCTGACTGACGAATCCATGAGGATTGGTGGTGTCCATGGGTGTCCAGCCCATGATGTCCTCTTTAATCCTCTTTATACATCTTCATATCTTGACCACCTAGGTGAGCATGGTGACAAATGGTTCGACCAAGACTGGTCGAAGACCGTGGCCTGTCACCTCTTGGTTTGCAGTGGTGTTCATTCAGTTATAATATGTATACAGTATATATATATTAAATTATATTAGATGATTATATAGTGTCATTCCTGCTGACCAATTGCCTGCAGCCATTCCAAACACTTTGCCGACTGTACTGTTGCTGGAGGTGTCTTGGCACGTCGAGAGGGGAAGTATCAAACTCAGGTCCCAAAGCAAAAGAAAGCGAGCAAGGCTTATCTTCCGAAGTGCAGGGTTGCATCCTTCGTTTGGAGGCCCAAGTTGATCTTCAAATCAGTGGACTATTCCGGGAACAAAAGCCCAGGGTTGGGTAGATCCTCCCAAAACTAGGCAAAAGCTGCAAATGCCTTGCACGAACAAAAACGCTGTGCAAATCCGATCCACCGGCTTCAAATGCCGGTCCTTTGCCCCTTGCTCAAGCACGCCGAAAGGCTTGCCCACAAGGTCACGTCACCCACGTCCACACAAAGCACGTCGTTGCTGTCCATCCGACTTGACATCTCCTAGCAAACATTGCATCCACTAAGACTGGAGCCGACCGGTGCTTCTGCTATGCAACCATGGCAGTCCTTTTCTGTGAAGAGTCTTCTGCAAGAATCGTTAGTAGTTTCAGTAGTTTCTGCAGGAAATTGCGCACAAAACTTGACAGGATCTTGTCAGAACTTCTTTGGAGTTAAATATTTGAAGTTGGAGGCCTGCGCAGGAAGTCTTACTTGGATTCACCTGGTGCACTACATCAGTTGCTGGAACCCAAAACCAAACTTCGGAACTCTTCCTCCATGACAATGGCTGGATGGCAATAGTCGCTGCTGCCCATGCTGGTGCATTGGAAGCGGCTTCCAACATAACACCTTGGCAAGGAATTCCAGCAATGCAAGCAAGCTCAACTCAAGTAGTAAATCCGACCCGTCAATTCAAACAATGAGCTCAAATCAACTCCAACTAGCTACCTGTGTGGAGCAAGAAATTTACAGTAGATGCCCTATCTGGTAAGGCCTGCATTGTGGCCTTCCTCCGTGTTGGCACCAACATACACCCTAATACCCTTGCCTCAAAGAAGAACTGCCCGTTTGGAGCACATGCTCAGCTTTTAACCTTTGTCCCTCCGAAAGTGCATGGGGATTTCAGCAGTTCCAAGCAAACAGTTGAACAACTGGCTGCACGGCACAGTGCCCCCCCAAGATAAGTCAGGCTTGCCTGTTCCAAGCCCTTAGCTTGTAACCCCTTTGCACCCACAGATTCCGGTCGAGATCCACAAAACCTTAACAAAATGCTTGGTGGATCTGGGTCATGACCACTCTGGGTCTTCATGCAGCTTAGGTTCACATCTTCCTCCGGAGCTCGCCACTGTCCTGTATGAAGATTGCGCCAAAGCTCCTTGGTCTCCTCTGGAAGTTCCAACTTCGCTTGTTGGGCCATGGGAGTGGCCAAATGGAGGGTGGCAGCGTCCGGTGCAGTTACGTCCTGAGGCTTGGGAATGACATGTTGTCCAAGTCTATCTCCCTTAATTACACTAGGGCACCCAAACTTTAAGGGGGGCATCTCTTGGGTCAAGCACATTGTATCATGAACTATGATGCATTAGCTCAATGATCACCTAGCCAGTAGGGCAAAAGAAAACAAAAACATAACATAACATAACAATATTTTCCGAAGCGTCCATACCACTATAGGCCAGCTCCCTAGACCAAGATTCCATGAGCGACACGGACGGCAGCCGCGGAATGTTTTCTGAAGACAGTCCGACGGAAATGGAAGAGAGACCAGCTGGATTGGGCTCGCCCAGTTCTTTCAACAAACGGCCCAAGGTATATTTGATCTCTCCCACGATGTCATAGAGGGCTCGATAGCGAGAATTGATTTGGAGGCACATGGCATCTGGCTCGAACTTGATCATGGGCCGAATCTGAAGGCCAGCTCGATTGCACAAGAGCAGCGTGTCGTCGTGACTTCCTGCAGTGGACAAGCTTAGTTTTGCAGAGACATGCGTGGGTTTGGAAAAGATCTTCATGGCTGGTGCTGCTTTCATGTCCATTTACCTCCAGCAAGGCTCTACACAGGTTGTGCTAAGAGTTCCAACATTCCACAAGAACAGCTCAAAAAACCCCCTTGCAGGTTTCTACAGTTTGTGCCCAGGGAGTCCAATTTGCACACGGAGGGTCCGATGGAAATGATCAGCTGCGCGCTTTCAATGACCTTTGTGGCTTTCTCCAGGCCAGACTTCCCATGCACTCCAATCACACCTCAGCGAAAAGGTGAGGGCACCCAACCAAGCACGGCCGACATGCTGATGTTGCGAGAAAAGAGCCAAAAGTGATGGATGTCACAAGCCCTCATGGTCGTGGGGGTGTGCACTCAAGTGAAGACATGGTGGCCTGTACGAAGTCACGCTGTCTATGTGGCACTGTCAAAAGCATCGTTCAATCTCATGAAAGTTTGCCGATTCTGTGCTCAGACTTGGGATAAGGCCATCGTTAACTGCCCCACCAAAAGCATGCTTTCCTGACATCTTTACCCTGTGGCTTTCCATGATGGTACGTCTGTGGTAGTTGTGAGATAGGCTCAGCTGAGATAAGCTCATCTGACCCAAGCCTAACCCTGTACCCTCCTGTGGTGGGTCAACCAAGTGAGGCGCCCACCAAAACCCACATGGGTCAGCAAACCTTTGCTTGGACAAAAAATGAAGATCATGGATCAACAGAATGGAGCTGGACCCAGTAATCAAGCATTTGTCAGGAGTGGTGCCAACAGATCACCATCTCAATTACACCCACAAGGGTGTTCACTGTTCAATCGGAAGTACTTATACTTATATACATACCTCTTTCATCCCCCTCCATGCGTCACCTCAAATTGAGCCCTACCTGGTTACCTTGTGGTGAGTTCTCCACCAAAGGCGCCGAAGGCCAAGGGATGGGCCTCGTTCACCACGCCTTTGGCATCTAAGCCTGCGCGTTTCGTTCGGTTTGGCCGGAACCCCCCTGAGCCCTCATAGCTCTCAAAGCCCTAAGCTCACGTTGAGCAATCATGAGAGCACCTAAGGGCAGGTAGCCCTTTGGCAGAAATTGATTGGCAAGAGGCAAGAGGACGGTCTTTTCGATGTTTGGTTGTTGGTTTTGAATGGTTTTGACGCTTTTTCGTTGAGGATAGGATCTGCCGTCTGAGGTAGTAAAGATGTACTCGCATGATCTCCATGTAAGAGCCCTCAGTCTCCACGAAGGCCTCACAACCAACCCCCACCTGCAACCTCAACCCTGAATTCCTCACAAAGCCCTTCACCCAACAAACAAGCACCAATTACAGTCACTACAGTCTCAAAAAGAGCCACCCCCAAATCCACCCACCTGCTCACTCTGAACAGTAACAACCATCTGTATATTCTCCGCACCCGTGTTCCACTGGGTTCCCCCCACGTGTGAGCACCGGCGCATGGATTCGTTCCGCCAGCTTCAGGATCTCCTCCCCCGCGCCCACCGCCCGGTGTCCGCAGGCAATGACGCAGCGCCCGGCGCCGCGCTCCGCGGCGGCGCGGAGCTCGGAAGCCACGTTCCTGGAAACAAAAACATGCCTGGCATGTGGACACATCATAGAAAGTTACCTAGAAGAGAGTGAGGTAGAGTGGCAGTGTGGGTGGTAACGAGTGTGGGTTGGGGAGTCCGGCAGGTTTATTAGCGGGAAGGACTGGGAATGGGAGGGATGATATTATGTATATATATATATAGAGGATGTGGGGGAGGTTGATTTTTCCTTAGAGCAGCTTGCAAAACAATTATGGGACGGTGGGACTGGCGGAAGTTTGATGTTCTTCATCCAAATTTGCTTGGAAATGATGAGGAACTGAATTCCGTCTGACACTCATAGCATGAACTTCTCTCTCATAAAAGTGGCTGGCCGGGGTTCTGACAGCTTGCCAAGTCTGAAGTCAAAACAACCATGGAGAAAGTATGGCACGGCCAACGTGTGTTCATATTCTGACAAGGATGCCCATTGAGATAAAAGCTGACATATAGCACTACAGTATTTCACTCATGTCTGGATTGTCTCACGTATGCTCTCAACTTGGATGAGCATACTTGTGTGTTGCCAACTATGTTTATATTTTGTATCAGTTTTAGCATGTCTTAGCCCAAAAGTCTTGATGGCAAAGGAGTGGGAGGCACCGTGCTCCACATCGTCACGCACATCGGCCGCGCAAAAGGGTTTGAGTGGCACGGGGCTCTCTGCAGCTTGCACATCCACTGGCACTCCAAGGTGCACCGTCGTCCTGGGAGAAGGACCAGCTGATCAATGATCTGCCTGAAATGACGAAGCCCCAACTATGCCTAGAATAGTCGGTTGTTCTTGTATTCTGTTGATTAGGTCTAGAATACCGGTCCGTGCTGGACGATGTAGGGTTTCAACAGTATGTGTTTTGGTCACCACGGGATAGATCCAGAAACTAGATAACAGAATAAGCAGTGGCACTGGAGACCATCTCTTGGCACCACACATCGGGTACAAAGCATCAGTTTCCCTCTGGGAAAGTTACTGGGAAAGTTAAATGCACTGGTTGCAATGACGCACGAATGACCTTGCAAGTCCTTGCGCAATTAGGGAAGATCGATGAACACACCAGCTGAAAGAAATTGAGCAATCCACCATTGAAAACCCAGTACAGTATATACACATAGTGAAACCATAGTAGTGAGACCTTCCCCAGTACGGCACCTAAAACAAAAGCCGCGTGTGAGTTAGCAACGTCAGCCAGTCCTCAGGGTCAAGGCTTTCGCAACTCCATCACGAAGTAATGGAACGAGCGCGTCGGCTGAATGCACATCTAAGCTCATGGGAAGACCTCAGCTTGAGGGGAGGCCTTGGAAGGGAGGCTCTTCATCATCAACGCCTCCGAGCTGTACAGGAAAACACCAGAACAACCAGTTCCAAGCAAACATTGCACCAAAGTCACCAAAGCAATGATTTCCATGGAATCTCAACTTTCAAACCCTTCTGGCACCATCCAGCAACTCCCGCTTCCGGTTTCTTGGCCCAGTGGCCGCCCGCCGCGAACATGCGGCTCTGCTGCAAATCTTGGAACTCGCTGTAGCCGATGCCCGCGCGAGGCTTCAACCCGGTGATCGCGATCATGGGACATTGATCTTGGAGAGCATCCAGTAGCCCTAAGGAGAGGTGCTTTGGCTCCCCAACAAACCGAGCTCGACTTTCTGGTACGCTTGGGCTGCTTTGGTGCCGCAAGTTGGGCTAAACCTGGAGAACATGTACAGCGAACAACCCGGAACAACCCTCTAAAGTGAGCTTCGGAGTTTCCAGGTCTTCTTTAGATCTGCCCGTACCTAGTGACCAGCTCTCTTGGTATCCTCTTGATTATCTCTATATATATATGTTTTTTGTTCGCTAGTTTTCTTGTTACTAGTAATTAGTAATGCCAGGAGCTACAAGTAGCTAGTAGCAAGGTGCCTTGTTACTCGTGGCTTCTTTAAGGTGGTTGAAAGCCACCTCCGCAGGCTCATGTTGGCAAGGCACCTGTCGTGAGATTGGAGGCGCCGGGGCCACTCGTGGCGACGCACACGGCCAAGCGCCCGGTGAGCTTCGCATAGGCGGCCGCCATTAATGAGGCATTGGCCTGGTCGAAGCCGGTTGGATTCCGTGGGCCTGGTCGTGCGAGCTGTGTAGCTCTGGTGTTGCACAGGACCTTCAAATCCACTTACATACAGAGTGGGAGAGTGGGAGGGATTTGCGGTTGAGTTGGCTAAACGCAGAAAGTCTAGAGTTTCCTGTCTGAAGTGTCAGTTGGAAGATCTCGCGCAGTTGGTGTAAGGCAGTGGGACTCAAACGATCAATGACAGTAATCAACGGTTGCTGCGCAATCAAGGATGTAAACCTGATTAAGGCTACCGCTTGCGAGCTGCAAGCTGCTTCAGCCAAGACAGCTCCCAAGAGCACCTCGTTGCGTGTGTAGATCCACTTCACCCTCGGGTTCTTGCAAATGGCATTCACCATGGGCACCAAAGCTCCTCCATGTCCGCCGAAGATGTGCGTCACGCCGGCGTCCTCAGAATGGGGCGTTGCAAACCACACAACACCGATTTAAGGCTATTCCATATGTCCGATGTCAAAGCCATGATGTGAGACTTGTGATGACTTGTGATTTGACTTCGCTCACACTTTGAACAACTGCAAATCAAGTGAGAGGCAGCCAGCGCATTGACAACCCATTCTGAACCTTGGCACAATAGCTTAGAAGCGGAAATTCCAGCCAAATCCGTGTGACAGTTTCCACCGCATTATCTTCAGGCATTTCTCCTTCATCTATTAATATACCAACCAAGATCTGGTTTGGATCACCAAACACATCACAACGTGGCCAAACGTTGCCAAACTCTTTACCTGCCAATGCTTGAGCATTTGAGCTACTAGCTACTTGCCTTGGGTTCACCCTCAAGCACGAGGTCTTGAGGGGTGCTACGCCGCAGATTGAAGTCAGCCTCCAGTGGCGTGTGGCGTATGGCGTATTGTGTGCTTATTGAGAACCTCAAAATCACTTCAACAAGTTGCTCACAGCACAGGAACGCCAGGCAGCTGCCCACTCTTTGCATTTTTCCTTCAAACCTGGACACCTCAAGCCACGCCAAGTGCGCTCGCAGCTCCAAAATGACCAACCAAACTGGTGCATCAGGTTGCTGCATCCGGGGGGCAGTTGCACTTCGCTGGTGCCGGCGCGGGAATCGAGCGGAGCGAGCTGGTGGGTGGTAGGGTCTCATGCTCCTCGCGGAACGAGGGCGTTTCGCGCCAGGATCGGACAGGTTGACATCTGCACGATTGGATCAAACAAACAGCAAGGACGGCCCATTGACCCTGTCTGAAACTGCACTGGGGGAACAAATGGGGTCAAACGAGCTTCGTAGGACAATTATATAGGACAACCGATCCCTGGGCCTCCAATGACTTGTCGATCAGCCAGGCTTCCTGAGTGCCAAACATGAACGGTGGCCCAGTGCCGGGGGCACTATTTAAGCTCCGCATCAAATCCTGGAGATCTCCTGGCACCTGGTGCCCAGCTTTGCTTGGCGAGCGGCAAGAGTGAAGTCAGCTACAATGCTCGAAGAGTCCAGGTGATAGACCTCTTTCACATCCTCGCGGGCGGCGAAGCCATACACTCGAGCACTGCAATAAACGTCCTACAGCACCTTGCTTCGGAACGTCTGGTTGAACTGCTCAGCTCAAACAGAATCTGCTAACAAAATGAGCGTGAGAGACTGGCAGGCACATGGGTTTCGACATTTGGGAACTTTGACCTGTGCTTCGGGCAAGCTCTCGCTGCACACCCTCAAAAGGCTAAAACAGCTTGTGCCAACGACTCCACAGCAACTTTGCACCGTAGATTCCTGACTTGACTCTTCGTTCTTCAAAACTCTGGGACTCTGGATCATTAAAGTTGATCTGTGGGCAAAAGGCGATGTACTTCCGTACGCAACCTATCGCTTCCTGGGAATCTTGATTGAGGCCCAGGTCTAAATAACTGACACACACACACACACACTTAGAACTTAGATCCATGCTCACAAGAGCTCTATCAGTTTGGACATTCCGGATGCATTAGCCCTTCAAGTGAATATCTAGCCCTTGACTTGCAGAAACGGCATGGCGAAAGGGTCCGAAGAACAGAAGTGTTTAACATACTCGCTAGCACTTTACGGGACAATTGGAGTTACAGCATGTTACAGCTTAGTCATGCATTGTCAACAGTTCTAAAAGCTTGATGGAGGTACGTCCAGCTGGCCAAGCTGGATATCCCATTTCACTGGTAGCTTCATTGGACACAGTCCCAGTGAAATGCTGTGTCCCCCTGCATTGCTGTACAAACGGTTTTGGTATGACAGAGCTCCTTAGGAACAGGAGGATACACACACACACACACCACATGGACACCCTCCAAAACCACCAGCTCAAGGAGGCACCCTGTCCTGCGGTCGCACGTCTTGCGGCCGTTGGGCGACGCAGCTGCGACGGAGGGTCACCAAATGGGTGTGGAGCGCTAAGGAGTTGTCTGCACCTGGTGCTCGGGACATTTGAGCAACAGCCGATAGCAAATTTGATCAAATTTGCATCGACGGTATAAAGTCTTGGCACGTCTTAACGAGGTCAAAGTCCAACTATGCCCTACACCCAGTAGCTCAGAACACTTGGACAGGGACAAACCCGTAGACCGTAGACTACACTTACTTAAGGACCGAATAAAACCCACACGGCAGGTTTGTCAGAGTCATCCAGTGTGCTGTTCTGTTTCCAGAGTCGGTCTCATCGCCTCCGCCAGCTGCACCAGATGCACCTTTGTACAAGACCTCCCAGGTGACAAACTCTCTGATTGGCGAACCAGTCCAGGGGGCCTCTGTCATGCACACTGGGGCACAATCCCGAAATATCCTATTACTGTGGCATACTTTCTGCAACACCGTATATAAGACCCACACAGGGTGCATACAAGCATCGTGCGCCTGTGGGTGCAAAGGAACATTGTTTCAGCAGAAGTACGGGCAATCGATAGCACCATACACATGCAACTGGCTCTCCTCGTGTAGCAACAAACCACGTCAGGCTTTCCTCCTGTGCCTTTCCCACCCAATGGCTACACGGGTGGAGCCCTGGGTGGCGGACATGGGCGGACAAACCACCGCAGTGGTGAGTCTTCTTTCCAAAATCTGGTTCCAAAGAATTGATGGGAAAACAACCCAAACCACACGCTATTGAACGCTTCGAGGCTATGAGGGTCCCTGGCTGGGGTTCTTGCAAACAGTTTGACAACCCTTGAGACTCTAGCCATGCATGAGTCCACCCATGATCTTTGAAATTGCTGCAGTCCTGTCCAAAGACCTTATGTTGCAGACCCTCAAAAAGGTATGTCTGGGATGCCCGTCAATCTGAGCGGTTTCACCGACCACCCCAGTCCCGCCTTGTCCAATCCGCTGACCCCCTTCGTGGCCGCGGCTGCCATATCTGCGATGAAGCCCACCACCACACAGCGCACGTTGTGCTCCACCTTGGGGAGGCGCTTTGGTTGGAGTATACTTTTGCGGCTTTGGGTGGCAATTTGGGAGCTACAAACCCATCCTTTATTCTGCCAGATTCCCTTGAATCATGCCAAGTGGCATGGGGAGCGAAGGGATAATACTTCTCTTTGGCCTCAAAAATGTTTTCCTTGCTCATGGTTGGCAAGGCGATGGCAACACCTGCGGTTGGAGTCCGACCGAGCCAACAGCACAGTCTAAGCCCACCCTGCAGGTGGATGATCAGCCTAGCAAACGGCCAGGAGGCCAGGAGCTATGTATTTAATTTGTAGAAGCAGCATCGCTCTGTCTATGTATGTATTCTACGATCATGCTAGTCTCACACTAGATCGATGATGAAAGAACTTGCAGTATAGAGTATACACCACCAGTCAGCCCCTCTGGCCTCTGGACTTCCATCCATCTTAGGTTCCTTGGGTTCCTCATGGTCTCAACCCACCAGTTTCACTCTCTCCTCGCAGCCTACAAGCTTCTCGAAATGCACCATCCCTCCAAAGGCTGCGCCCACCGCGCCACACCGCTCTTCCACCTTATGCGGAGGTCACGGTCACGTCATCCGACAATGCTTTGGTCATCGGACGGCCCCGTGGTGCAAAAGACCAAGAAGAACATTGGGAAACTGCAGTGTCATGTCATGCAGCTCCTATGTGGTGAATCTCCAATATGTGAATCTTCTTCCATCCCCCCTCAGCTTACTGCCAAACAAGCCCATCCATCAACAGTGCAGTCCTTACCAGAACACACAGCAGCTACCTTGCAAAGCCGCCGGGATCTAGGACACTCGGTACTTCTATGCTTGACCTGTAGCCATGAAGCCCTAGCCGGCTTAGCAACCAGAAATGCCAACAGCTAAGATCAGCGCGTTGGTGAACATATCATTCAAAGCTGCTGTCCAGGTCATACCTGTGGCATGGGTCAAGGCCTAGCTAGACGGCTAGAACTTTGAAGTCTCAGTCCACATGTGGAAAAGGATTCCCCATGACCCGTGTGATTTAGGCATTGTCATTGACGCACGCGTGTCATGTTTGATGGCTATACTTGGCCATGAATAGGGGCAGTCAAGTGACTGGGTAATCGTGGGGCCATCTCAGGTAGGTAGGACTACTCGCAGAACCGCGCAACGTGCCCCCACACGCGCTGGCACGTGTGCCCCACGGCCTCCATGCTGAGTGCTGGCAACGAAATCGGGCTGCGCATCAGCCGGGCCTTTGCTTCTCAGGCGATCCAGCATCATCGTTGTCGGGTGGTCAAAAAAATCGTGTGAAACACCCCAAGCCCACAGCGTTTCTACACTAAAATTAACATGTCAGTCTGTCCGCGAGGGCATTGCACAACTGGAAGGTTTGAGCTGACTTGAGGCCAGAGGGGGTGAACGAAAGCTAGCTAGGGGGTGAACAAGAGTCTGGTCGTCAGGGATGGGCGCTGCTGCACTGGGTGCTCTGCTGGCGCCGGGTCGTCTGCTGCTGCTGCTGCTGCTGCTGGCGCTGGGTGGTCTGCTGCTGCTGCTGCGGCGGTGGGTGCTCTGCTGCTGCTGCTGCGGCGCTGGTTGGTATGCTGCTGCTGCTGCTCCTGCTGCTGCTGCTGCCGCTGGGTGGTCTGCTGCTGCTGCTGCTGGTGCTGCTGCTGCTGCCGCTGCTGCGCTGGGCGCTGCTGCGCTGGGTGCTCTGCTGGCGCCGGGTCGTCTGCTGCTGCTGCTGCTCTGGGTCTGCTGCTTCTGCTGCTGCTGCTCCTTTGTGGTTTGCTGCAGCTGCTTGGTGGTAGACTGCAGATGCTTGGTGTGCTGCAGCTGCTTGGTGGTCCCGCTCACCGCGCGCAGGGGGGAGTCGAACCGCGGGGGGGGGGGGGTCCATAAGATTGATTTAATCAATTATTTGAGGTTTCTGAGGTGCGTCCACCCCGTCACTTAACTTGCTAAAGCAAGAGCAACTCCAGCTAGCTAAGGCTAGCTTTCGTGATGATGCAACATGATGCAACTGCCCGCAAGATTGCATTCACAAATTGCCGCGTTCCTTTCTTTGAGGTAATGGTGCCCGTTCAAATCTCCGTCAAGAGCTACAGGAATCCAGCAACCATCCGACTAGTTGACTATCACCGCCACCATTCTCATAAAGAAGGTGGACAATTAGCAAAGCTTGCTGGAATGAATGCAAAAAACATCTCACAAAGCCCTAAGTCGGTATATAATTATTGCCTTCTTCTGCTTTTCCTCTTTGGCTAGAACCATTGGCACTGGCCCTGAAAAGCGGCAAAGGCGCTAACATTGGACAAACAATAACATTGGACAAACAAATTGTTCTTGTCACTTGTCTCCATCCTACGCTGCGCTCCCTCATGCACGACCACGACGTCTCAGCCCACGTGCCACGTGGCTGACGAATCCAGCGGCTTCACATCGGATGTAGGTCCCATAAACGGTCTTGTAATACTCTGCACCTGGGTGCTGGTGATAGTCCGGTGCCGAGCAATTCATGTGCCCACCCTGCACTTGTGACAAGAGAATCCAAGCGCAATGAGACAAACCAATTGGGAGACTAATCCCGAGCAACTCTTGCGAAAATTACCCAGCATTAAGCTGTACACCCTAATCTCCCATCAAATTGACCGCAGTGAGCCTGCTGGCTCCGGGAACCCGAACCTCTGAGACCCATCCAGGTCGGCAATATGCACCCATCGCAGATCCGCGCTCAGAAAAGAATTAGGCTCTCTGGAGTCCTCTTGGTGTTCAACAAGTCTTCACAAGTCTTCATCTCCTCTCAATCCAACTATATATATATAATGTATATTAAACATTATTAATTAAACCTATACACACATGTCACATATATTATATATATACACACCCTGCGCATCCTCAGAATGTGAGCAGCACCCATTGGAGTCCCACGCCCCAGAGTCCGAGCCGCTCCCGGTCCGTGTGGACTTCACAAAGCCATTCCCATTGAAGGCGACCATCTCGCCGTGCCCCGCGTCATCGCCGGGCGGGGCGGTAGTGCCTTAAGGAGGTCCACCTGTCATCGCCTTCCCCCCTGCAGATCGGAACTCTTTCACTGATTTTGTGTAGAGCGTCCCGTATAAACCCAACGGGATAGTGACAACCTTGCACACCTGTTTGTTGGGACTGTTTCCCGCAGCTTGAAGCCAAACCTCCGGTCTTTCTTGGCCAAAGGGACCGGTTACAGCAAAGCGGTTACGGCGAAACAGGGTTACCCTGAAGAGATGGACTGCTCAGTCACCGAAGATCGGTGATTTCCTGAACCTTGGGTCAAGCAGGATGTCATTTTCAGGGTGTTCCCGGTGTTTCTGGATGTTCCTGGCACTCTTCAATGCCAGTTCCATTCTCTGAAACACAATGGTCCTGGTGAGCTGGGGCCTCCGGCGGTTGATCCAAAGACATTTTTCTGTGAGGATTCCCCATGGCCCCGGCTTCCTTTCTCCAATGCAGCTCAGCTGGCCAGCTTCGAAGCCATAGCGGATGTCCGCCATATCGATGATTCGCTGCACCTGCTAAACATCACATGATCATTCGCGAACGTCGAATGGCAGGTGCATGGCAAAACCATGTTCATCGGCCCATCCGGCAAGCGTTGAAGCCTATCAAGCTTGAGACATGATCATCGCAGCCGCAAAGCTCTGGGGCTGCGAATTTAAGGTCTGAAGATGTCTGAAGTCTGAAGCAAGGACCCCCACAAGAACGTGGTCGTTGCTGGGTCATGGCACGCAACACGTGGGTGTTTGATGAGTTATTTGATGTTCCGGAGCATGAATAATAAATCCGGACCCTGAGGGAAGGCATGACACGAATCCGTCTCATCACCCCTCCGAGGCCTCTTCGGGCTCCTGACAGGGTCCTTGAGAAAGTGGACGGTGGAAACGGTGGAACATGGAACCCTCAAGGTTCCCACGCTCACAACCGCGATAAGGTATTTTTTGGCATGCGGGCCGGACTGGAACTGGCACCTGACCAACAACATCCAAAACGCTTACTATATTACAATTATGTCATAGAGGAACCGCATGGAAAGTCAGCGGGTCCAAGTTCCTTTTGCCCATTGGCCGGTCTCCCGCCTTCTCCTGGTCGGGATTGCCCTGGATTACCCAGTCAACATCACCTGACTAAAGCTGAAGCATTGGAGAGACTTTCTGCACAGGGCCTTCCGCAGCCAGGACCCCAAAGAAATAGGAAACCATGTCTCCAAAACTCTCCACAAGCTCGGTTTTAGCAACTGGATGGATCAACTCTGCCCTCCTGTTAGATTCGAGATCCTCACACATGCATGTAGGATGGACACCAACACCAGCAAAAAACGACTATAGGATGGAAGCTTGGACCTGTGCCAAACGCAAAAGCGCAATTCTGGGACAAATCATGACTCGAACCATTCTTTGGGCAACTGCAAGTGGGTGCACCGACACATGCGGGTGAGATGGCGGCTGAAGCTGTCTTGCTCGTCCAGTAGTGGCCGAGTAGCCGAAGAAGGTGACCTGGCCCTTCTTGGCTTCACCTCAGAACAGCGACACGTGAGAAGACAGTCAGCCCCAGGATGTCCACAGCAAGGTAGTCCAGGTTGTACAAGAACCGTATATGGGCCATCTGACCCCTTTGAGCTGAAGCTCTGCGACTCTCTAGTTGGGAAGGTCCGGACCCCTCAAGCTTCAGCAAGAATATGGATCACACAAGTTGAAGAACAAGGAGCTGTGTGCAATGGCAAGAGCCTCGCCAAGTTGCTCTGTCCCTTTGAGGGTCTTCTGGGCACTGAGTAGTGGATGGTATCACATTCCAGCCCTTGCTCAGTGCAGTGAGCGCGGAATTCCTCAGCAACAAAAAACGAAAACCCCCACACAGCCCATGGACCAAGGTGCACATCTCTCGAGGTTCAAGAAACAACTGTCACAAGTCACGAGGCGGCACATATATATATATATATGTACAAACTGGAGGCAATTCACCGACCCAAATGGTGGTCAATCACAAACACCTTGCGGACCTACTAGCCAAAGTATTTTTGACCACGAATCACATTGAATAACCTTCCTTTATTCACGCGACAAGTACGTACGCCGCTTCTAGCTCTGTGTGCCAAGTGTTGTGTTACGCTGTGTCACGTAGTTTCACATCTCCACATCCTCGTAGACGGAACAAACAGCGTGGCGGCCCGGCAGTCTGATTGTCAATCTTCATAGTCAAGTGTGATAGACACGGCACCTCTGCCATGCGCAAACGATTGCAAAGTGGTTCGTACACCACAAACTGGACGCAATCTTGGTTCCTAATCGATCAAGGGATTTGCATCCCAGCGTCTTCCAAGGATGCACCTTCCTCTGCCGAGGTTGGGTTTTTGTTCAAGGAGCCCAGGCGGGGAACCTGCATGTTGGCCACAACAAATTGAAACATTGCCGGTGGTTGCTTCAAGATATCATGTCTGTGAGAAGGTGCCGTTTGGCTCGAAGGCATCAGCAGATTTCTATTGTTCAAGGATGTTCAAGGGAATGCGAGAGCAAAACAGTCCGAAACAACCACGTGACATGTTTAACCGACACAAACTAAACGCTTCTGGAACGGGAACACACCTAAAGGCTACCGACATGATGTCTTTAGAGCAGCAGTAATTACCCTGGAGATCCCCGGAGGCTTTGAAGGATCTTTTAGATCAGAAGGAATGCTTGAATGGATCATTTTCCTGCGGAAAGCAGGCCCTGGAGATTCAATAGTGGTCTGCCTGGGCACTCAAGAAAGCGAATTGGATTACCCCCCCCTTCCCGCCTTGATATCGCAACATGCTCTGTGCACAGACATGGCCAGAATCAAGGATGCAGTATTGTCCAAGGAATTCGCAAAGCATGTGATCCACCATCAGCATTTGATCTACGGACCTGGCACTTTTAGGGTATCCACCAGTCATCAATGTGATCTTCCTGCAGTCAAGCGAAGGTTGGGGTGGTCCGTCCAACTGACTGAACATCATCGATCCCAACTTGACATGCCAAATCCTTCATATGGTCAGCTCACCCATTGTGGCATTTCTTTGATGATTACGCTTCTCCCAGTAGGGCAGGGTTCAGCCAAGATTACAGGGCATCAACAAAGTCGTGAGTGTAGGCAAGTGTGGTTGGCTGGCTCAACTTCCTTGAGGATAGTCATTGGGAATTTCTTGGCTGTGATACCTTGCTCAGCCATCTACGCGTATCTCTAAACTCCAAAGCTGACCAAAGTGGTTGCCCTGTGGTTTGAAACGTGTTTGCTCTGTTCATTACCTGCTCCGAAGACAGTCCAGCACTCACATTACCCAGAGTGGGGCAGCCTAACGGGGCAGCGTAGCGAGGCAGCCTGGGTCGTACTCGGTCCATGCCAAACAGTCCAGCTCTTGCGCAATCTTTGGCATTCTTGCCCAGACGTGCACTGCAGCTTACTAGGGTGCCATGTATGCACAGTCTGCGTGGCACTATGTAGCACTGGTGCATGCATTTGAATTGACATGGCGGGAAGCGGACCACGAGTTCACATTGGTGGATCGGAAACAAGAGGCAGAAAAATAATGGAAACTACTAACTACGAAAAAATAGAAACTACTAACTACGAAGTGATGTTGCGGGCCCAAGTTCCTGGGACACTCTCTTCATCACCAAACAAAATCGGCCCTGACAAAATGTAGACCTGCTGGCAATTGTGTTGCTGTCCAAATTATGCAAATTCTCTCGGGAATATTCCGGAATGATGCCCTTCACCCAGGCATAGCACTATGACAGCCGCAAGGAGTCTCAAAATGATGCAACAACAAGTCCAAATGATTTGCTGTCCTGCCCTGCAATACCCTGAATATACACTTGTTATTGAAATGTAAATCTTGCCAACTGTATATATATATATGCACAGGGCAATACAACATCATCAAAACAGAACCACCCTTCACTGGTCAAGTGCTTCTCCACTTGCCTGAACCTACGCGAGCTCGGGTACTGAGGGGCTTTCAGGTACTGCGGGTCGGGTCTCATGGGTGTGAGGGCCATGTGTCAGCTGGTGTGAAAGGGGCACCTGAGCGCTGCTTCCCCTGTGAGAGGTGAAAGCCAATCCGTCGAACACCCACCCGAATGGGCTACGGGGCCCCGCGGACATGGGCAAAGGGGTGAACAAAACGATTACAATCTGCATCATCCATTGACCTGTTTGCAATAAGCAAAGACCAACCGTTTTGATAGCTTCGATTCAAGCCACAGGTCAAAGCAAATACATCCTCACAGCAAATCCCTGGAAAATTCCTCAAGGGTGCTCCGATCACATTACTGTATTCACATTGCTTTCCTCGATGCTCCGCTTCGTGCCTGGGTCACACCCGATCACGCAGCTTTCCTTGACAGTACCGCCGGCGATCGGAGCAGGTGCCCAGATCTGGAAAAGATGCCGTGCTCCCCCACGTAACTCGGGGTGTTTCGGGGTGGAAGTCTGCCAACGATTTGAACTGTGGTGGAGGTCAATGGCATGCGATGGATACGAAGAAGGCGCCCGTTTTCCCAAGCCTAGCAGTTTCTGAAGCCTCGGTGTTTGCCGTATGATTGGCATGGGGATTGACTTCCGCCTCGAGCACCCCTAGTTGACCAGCCCAGGTCTGTTGGAACCCGAATGCCTGGTCTTGGTAACCTTTGAAATGGCTTGCGGCAAAGCACAGCAAGACCATGAAATCGAAACTCCGCCAGGGCCGACCGTTGTGGAACCTTAGAGTTTCTGGAGAACATTTTCAGCTGAAACAAGACATTCATCACCTGGCAGTCCCTGTTTGCGGCTACAAGCGCGCATGGCCGGCGCGCATGCAAGTAGAGGTTTAAACATTCGTTGCGTGTGTGGCCTTGTGCTCCACGCAAGCTGCCTCTGATCTAATTGTCATCTGCGGTACGCAGGAACCTTAAATCGAGCACTCCGCCTTTGCTTCTGCCACCGAACTGTATAGGTGGCCATCACCTGAGACTGTGCAGGAAGCAAAAGATTTGCAAATTTGCAAGGTTCCATCCCCTTCACTGTATATTGAAAGCATGGTCGCTTGGAAGTTTGGGGCTGGCTTCCAAACATCAGTAAGCGAACGAGACTGCACAACCTTCAAGGTACAATCTAAGGCTCTTGGCTTTTATCCACATCAAGACGCAGTTCACAGATTGGGCAGCTTTCAGTTCGTTCCTATAGATTCAATCGGATTGATTGAGACACCCCTACCAACGGTTTGCCCAAAATCCTAACGCATCCCCATCCCCCCACGAAAAAGCATTACCAGCATACCACGGGAACCGGGCAAACCAAACATTGGTCAACGTGCCGCATCATGTCACCGTGCCGCTACCACCGTGTCAACACGCTTCACGGCTCCATCTGCCGCCCAAGAGACCTTTAAACTCACTGACCCATGCCGCCTTTTTCAAGATGGGCCCATTCAAAAGCAAGTCAGGCACCACCAACGCCACTTCGCCTGAGCTGGTGGCGATGTGAGGGAGGGTGGAGCCTTGACAACTCAAGCTGAAGAGGCGTCTGGAGGAGAACTGCCTTGTTGCTTTGCCCCATGTGTCCGGCCAAATGCCAAAAAGTTTGAGTCATAGTTTGACAGGGCTACTCAGTAGCTCAGTAGCGAGTCAAATATAAAGTAGATGAAGGTGTGGTGATATGGTGTGCTTCTTCTATACTCGTTCAAAGCAGGCGGCTGGTTGCCCCCACTGGCCAATCAAGCAAACAAAACAACTCAAGAAACCTGCGATTTAGTTCATCTTCGAAGGCTATTTGGGACGTGCGCGCTTTCAAACAGGTTAACACATATTAAAACATGGACAAACCAAGCAGAAAAATTGGCTTGTGTTGAACCCTTAAGCCGGCTGGTATGTTATGGTCCGGTTACAGTCTTGCAAAGCCTCTTCCACAAAGAACGGGCTGTTTTCGCTGCCAGGGTGCAGCCATGGGCCTTGATCTCCTGCGCTGCCTTCGCTAAGGTCTGAGAGCCATCGATATCGATGCGGGTGACATGCTCCAAGGAGACCTGTGGCCACGTGAAGTCTAGCCGCTAGCCACGCGACACGATGTTTGGTCAACCAATTGAAAACCCAGGATGATGGAGAGTGTCAGGATACTATGCATGATCTACTTCCTTGCACTACAAACAGGTAGGTTGGCATCTTGTCATAGATACTCACAATAGCCAGCGCGAGGGAGGAAAAAAACTCCTTTTCTTCAACCAGGACAAGCATATCCTTCGGATGAAACTACGTGTCTTCGTCAAACAACCATCGAAACTGCGACAACATGTTGAGACGGATTCTCTTCCCAGACCTGTGGGGGGGGTTCTTTCAGTCCTTTCCAAAACAAGCAGCTTCGCTCCGCCCGAAAAATGACCCCCTTGGAGCACATGGTCTTCTGCAAACCCACGAAGGGTTTCCACTTCAATGGGAGTCTGTCGATCTTGATCCCTCACCATCACTCACTTGCGGAGCAAAGGACGATGATGCACGGCGGGTTCTTCCTCGCCAGTGCTTGCAAGCGTGACAAATGCTTGCTCGCGCATAAGAAGGTCATTGAACCCATGGGCTCGTAGAGCACCGCACTCTCGTAGTCCTCAGGAGACCGACCAAACAAGACTTCAAGAGGCACCTTCAAGACTCAATGAAGGAAAATCCTCTGGTGGACGGTGGACATGTCAAAAACTAGCACTATGATAATAATATGCCACAAGATGTCCGTAAACTATCTCAAACCCTACTAACTACCCTGGGAGCCTACTGAAGAACATGCCCCAACAAAAACAAAAAACACACACACTCCAAGACCCCACCAAAAAAAGCGCAACAAGTTTCAGCTGAGCGGCGTGATTGTGGAGGTCGTTGTCCATCTGCTTTCGAGGTTTGCCACAAGCAAAGTGTTGGACCAAGTGATTCAGAGTCCTGAAATGCCAGACGCTCATCCAGCTGAAATGAAACGAACGAACAGTGGGAGGTGCTGGTGAACCAAAATTCTCCGCAGTTTTCGCTGGTTGACGAGTTGAGACTGCTACAGCACTGCAGCATCAATCCTAGGTCCTAGGGTCGGCCAGGGCCAACCAAACGTGGGAGAAACTAACTTGTTCTCCAAGGGTCGCCAGTGGTGAGGGTTTCACGGCGAGGTTTGCACCATGATCAAAGGAAGCAGTGGCCCACCTGAGCGATGGACATCACTGTCAAACCCGGGACGGGCGTGTGGTGGACGGCAAACTGTTTGCGGGTCAAGTGCGGGTCTGCGGATGTTCCACCCTGGATGACCTTCATGTTCAGTTTCCACATATGATATGTTAATGCAACTGCTCAATCACAGTTGTTGGAGGGTCGTAGTAGCTCGATCTAGGGCCGCTAGGGAGATGGGTGTCCGGTCAGGCATCCGAGCCTGAAGCTTGATGGCATCCGATCCACACATGTTTCTGTGATTGATATTCAGATTTATATCCTTGAGATCCTCTTAGTCCTATACAATGTCAATAGATCCGATGTTTGATTGGAAATTACACACCCCTAGGTTTGTTGTGTTGTGTGAAACTGCATCTAAGGAGTCTGGCACATTGTCACACTTCAAAATCGTCCAAGAAGGCAACCCAACACTTTCTAGCACACTCAGCAACCCAAAAAAGGCAACTCAGTGTCCATGTGCAGGACCGTTTCCGGACCGCGCATGGATCTTAATCGAGAGCCTCCTTGCAAAGGTTTCCCTGAGACTGCCTGTCTTCGGCCCTCCACAATGATCTTCTGATGCGAGCAGCTTGGAGAGCACACCATGGTCACTGAGGGGTGTGCCGGTACTGCTCACCTGGTCGGGAAAGTGTCTGTACAAGGGTAATTCTCTCTGCGTGTGTGTGTGTGTGTGTGTGTGTGTGTTCGACCTGATTGTGGTGATTGGTCGCAAGGCCATCTGGAATGCAAGGAGCCATAGTTTAACCTCACATTTGATGGCATTCCTTGCAGAAACGGTAAAAAGGAGAAGAAAGGTTATAGAGTCTAAAGGCCTCAAACAGAATTGAAAGAAAGAGCTCTTGAAGGCTCTTGTTTCATATTGTTTCATCGCAGAGTTCCACCATGCGGTCCCTGTCGGTGCGCTCGTGCCTCCACCGCGGCTTTGTCCAAGGTCACCCTCGACTCGGCGCGCGCGGTCTCCGCCGCATCCCTCAGAAGAGCGACCACCATGCCCACCACCAAACCATAGACTGGGTCCAAGAAGACACCTCGGGATGAAGCAGGAAGGATACGAACAGCAACAGAAACATGTCAATTCATTCCACATATTATATCGTGGGTTCCTGTGTCACTTTGGGAAGGTAAACATCAATCCAGCTCCGCCGGATTTGTCGCCTCGGCCTGGGGCACCAAAGGAAATCACCGTGTGACGACAGTCAGAGGCCTTCAACTTTGCAGTTGGGCAAGCTAGAGCCGTTTAAGTTAAAGATAGTTAAAGTGTTGAATCATATTGATCTGACTTGTAAGTGATGGTGAGCCGCTGAGCTGCTTCACTCTTTTGCATCCCGGACTCATCTCTTGTTGCAGGTGAGATGCAAATGGAAGTAGTCATGATGAGAAGGAAACAGCTCCTCCGGTCACTGCGCCAAAGCATCGCGATATAGTGAACTGGTGCCATCTTGATGGAAGCAAACACCAGCAACGCTGCAACTGCAGCCTGTGGAAGGTAGGAAAACACTGGCATGGCCACAACCTTGGCCGAGCACACGAGCCTGCGGGATGAAACAATGACACCACGGAGATTCCCAAGAGGCTTCAGCTGGAGAACCACATCTTGTTGTCAGACTGAGGCCCACCGTCACTGGTTCGCCAAGGAACGAAGATCAAAAAGACCGCAATGGCATTGATCATCTGAGACATCCGATGCGTCGCTCGAAGTTGGACATTCAAGGACGTTCGCACGAACACGCCCGTGGGCGGCAATGCCCCCACCGCTCCGCACACAGCGTGGCAAACCATGAGCCCCAGAGTCTCCCGGCTGCTGTCAAAGGGATAGTTCATCCTGGAGTGCAGCATGACTGCCATGCGAAACTTCGGACACTACACCTTTGTCACGATGAGATTGATGACAAGAGCCGCTGCTTTAAAAGGTAGCCATGCCCCAAGCTGAGGGATCGACTAGGTACACAAATCAATTGCGATGGCCTCCAACCTAATAGCTCCAAAATTCAAACATAAACAACTACTGCATGAGGCCTCTATTTTGGCACTTTGCATGAGCCAAGTATGGGTCGGTATCTCGCCCTCTCACGCCTGAAGCCTCTCACAGCAGCAAACAATCCCACCCTGCCCCCCTTCAAGAAACCTCACATGCTCACCTGTAGTGATCAACTCAAACAACTCTTAAGACTGACCAAGACTGACCCAGCACAGTGACCCGTCCACAGAAAAACTGATGGAAAGGTCGAGCGGAACAACGTGGCCCGTGGCTCTCGGTCGAAACCGGTGGGCCTCTGCTCAGCGATCTTGGCCGAGATCAACGTCTCGAGGACTGCCACGAAGGAAATGCCGAAGGCGGTGCCTGAAGACGCACGACGAATGCGAAGTCTGCATCGGGAGACTGGCATCAAGCCAGGCTGCCCCACCACTGCCCAACATGTCTTTCAATACCATGCCAATAGCAGGAGAAAGCCCTGCAACATCCTAAAACCCAAATCAACATCACCCAATAACCAATCCAATAAACTTGGGGTGTGAGTTATCATGAGTGTGGGAGCATGTTCATTTTGTTCGGCCAGATTTTGTGTGCTTCATCACCGCGATAAATACGTTGACATTGAGTGATAGATCCGAACAGGTATAGTTTTAGGGACATCTGATTTGCAAGTGGTTTGCGGGTCTATTTTGCCATCTGATTTCTGAAGATTTACCAGACATGAACCGCCACAAATGGTAGCAAATCCAAAGGTGTAGTACCAACCCCCTATATAAACTACCACGGAAACAGTAAGGCAAACGCTTAGATAAGGGTTTTGTATGTACACGTCTCGAAAGAAGTGCCTCGTCCTGTCACCCTACCGTCCCTCATCCACCCTGCCCCCTTGTGATCCCGAGGCACGGATAAGCTCAATCACCTGACCCTCAGCGAACTCTGCCAAGGGCGTTGAGGGCGCTTCCACCACCCTGGGCTTCAAGGTACCTAGGTCACCACCATCCCCATCTCCCTGCACACATTGGTTGAGTAGGGGATCAGGGACCCCTTTTGATCTTTTGGATCAGGGACCCTTTCACTCTGGCTGGGTGCCAGGGCACACTCCCCTGGAAAACAATTTTCCTCTACAAACAGGTGGTTTTCCACATCCATGATTAATTAGTCTAGTTCACCAAGTGTTTCCAATGTGGGTTCTCGTACGCACCGACCGACCATCCAATTCTTCTCTCCGGGTGGCCGTACTTGTCCTTCAAAGTGGGCAGCACGATGCCTCCCAACATCTTCTGGTCCGACAAATAGCCCAACAGGATCGTGAAGATTGGGATCAGCACCGTCCACGGCACTGACCTGCCACGACAGATGCTCTCCGGCGGCAGCCCGCTCGGAGAGGCAGATTCTCGCCCGTCAGACTGGGTCTAATAGAAGATTCCAAATGGCTGAGAAGAGAACACCAATTCAACCAGCCAAGAAAAAGCAGATCAACACCACCCCAAAGTCTACTTATATACTCGTTTTGTAACCTAACGTTTCAACCTCCTGCAGTAGATTTCGCAGATTTTGGTAGATACGGTTCTTCCCATCAACAAAGGCCCTACGAGGGTGACAAAATGACTGAGCGCATGGCAGCGGAGCGAACAGCTTGCGACAAACCCACCTTCCCTTGATCTTCCCAGCATATTTCACCAGTGCCAGCAGCCTCAGTTAGTGCTTCGAAACACTTGAGCCACTTCGTGAGATAGAGCAAAAAAGGAGAGAATGGAATGGACTGAATGTCTTTTCTGGAGTTTTCCTCTCATACCCACATAGGGTCCCTCGGGGTGTCGTCCTGAAGAATGGCGGAATGGCTAGCGTGGAATGCCATGAGCTGCTAGGCAACCCAATCAGCAAGCTTTTACTCAACTGGGATTCACTGGGATAAAATCCCGGTCTGCAATCTGTGCTTCACTCTAGCCCCGTGGCTGTCTGGACGACCTTTCTATACAAAGAGAACCGTGGCCTCACAAAAACTGCGCTGCCACTTGACAGCGCTCACCTGACAAAGGTCCAGCAGGAACCAAACCCCGGCTGCCTGCTTGCTTATCATTCAATGCACACTGGCACGTGCAGGTACCGCATGATGGCAAATTCCGTGCACAAACCCTCACTTTGCATGCATTCAACCAACCCACCCAATTCCATCGCAAAGAACACCGTCGGCCTCTGAAAAAGCACCTTCTTCTCTCAGAGGTGTGCCGTATCGCCGCCCGTATCGCCCATCCGCCCGTCTCGCCCAAAGCACAATGCAGTCATCACGAAGAATAGGATGGCAGGTGCCAAGCTGTAGCCGTGGAGCGCCTCGAGCGAGCGGATCAAATTCCTCAGCTCGAACGGAGTGGAAGGTCTCGATGAGTGGATCTGCTGTGCTTGACGGGAGAGGAGGTTTGGCTTACTCAGAAAACTAAGCAGGAATGAATGGGCTAGATCATGTTCATTGGGGATCTTCACCCATGTTTTGGGGTTCAACGGTGCTTAAGAATTTAACAACACTGAACCACCTTGATCATGATGCCTTTATCACTCTGAAGCATTGCGCCCACGGTCAAGCCCAGACGCTCGTGAAAGTGCTCAGATTTGGGCCCATCAGGGGACCTCAGCATCGTTGGAAAATCATAGACCAAAGGAGACAATGCGACTCACCGAAAAGGAATTAACAATAATACTTTTTGACAATGTATGGCATCGGACTCTTGATATCCAAATGAACTGCCTTGATCGAAAGTGGCTCTGGCCAGGGCAAAATATTCCAATCACCATACCCACGTATATTAACATCCACCTAGTAAACAAAACTAGAAACATCTAGAAACACCAGATTGGTGCCTGTTTGAACCCATGATTGGTGTTGTTTCGGCATGCCGTCAGCCACATTGCCGAAGGTGCCCATGTCACCCGTCCGAGGTGTCACCCCTCCCAGGGGCAAATCCAAAGCCATCTCGAGCTGTCCAAGGCCGATGATGAAGGCCACCGCCAAGGTGAAACCTTCAAACACCTCAAGGAAGAAGTGATCCCATTCTTGAGCACCAGGGGATAAAGAAACCAGTTGAGCTTTCTGCATCCTTCCTAGCTAATCCTTGTTGTGTGAGCTCATTGAATGGGCACAAGTGCTTCACCCAAAGCCGTTATAAATCGTTATATATCTGCTCTGATGAATGGCGTCATCACCTGCAGAGCTAGAAGAAACTGTCACGAGGCAATTACAAGAGAGCTTCTTCAAGCGTGACATGCGCTTTCAGCCGAGCACCGCTGTGGGCATCAACAGCAAGTATCGTTGCAGGCCTGAGCAACTCCGATGCCGGCCGTTATAAGTTGTAAGGCTATACATCCTGGCATCTCCCACTTACTATGTTGATCTATATTGGTATCCCGTAGCACGGACTTGGCACTTGCCGCTATTCTCATGTGAGCTACCTGAGTACAGGTCCCATCAATTTTATCCTGAGACATCTAGCTTCGGCCCTGATACAGTAGCAGCTACTCCAGCAGTTACCAAGTCCCTCCGTAGTTGTTGGGCCAATGCATTCAGCATGCAAGCTGCAAGACGCCAACTCGATGCACAACAGCATCCCCAGCCGCAAGGCCTTGCATGGCCTTGCAGCCTTTAAAGCAATTTGAAGCCATCTCACGACAAGAGCATACAAGGCAGCGCGTCCATGCGCATCCATTGTCCCCATGGTCCGCGGCCAAGCAACCAAGCAAGTAGATGAGGAAAATGAATCCCTTGGCAGCGTGGGGCAGTGTCAGTAATAGACTTGCCCCTTTCAGAATCGCAAGTCTGCAAGTTGCTGCCGACATTGCAGTTCAATCCCGTTTGGGCCTGTTTCAGGGGATAAGGTCAGGCAAAATGGATTCAAGTGGGAACCTCCTGTAAGTCTCCATGGCCTTCTGCCAAGCTGCTGCTGAAATTAATGACAGGTACGGCAGCACCTGCATGGCACAAAAGCACCCTAGAGTCGGCCACTTAGTCCAGTTGCACCTAAAACGTAAAAATATGAAAGGATTAAAACCCCATCAATAAATATAGCCGAGCCATCTTCCACATAAGTTGATAGGCATTTCAAATTTCGAGCAAATCTATAGTTAGAACTTAGAACCAACCAACATTGTCCCTCTGGAAAGGCAACTCCGCTCTAGAAATCTCCTTCAATCCTTTGGTTTGTTGCTGATTGACTTTCTGTTCTCCTCCTTCCTTTTCCTTTCCTTTCTCATGCCCTTTGTTTTTGGCCCTTTCCGTTCTCACAACAAGTACCTTTCCATAATGAGGCCTGGTTGCTAGAGGTCACGCATGTCAATCCTATTCAATCCTAATTAAACAGAGCCTTTCTGTCATTTGCTGTCATCCGTCAGTTGCCTTTCCTTTCCGTGGTTTCGCTACTCGAGAGTGATTCATTTTGTAGAATCAACGATGATCGCCTATTCAATAAGGATGGCCATGGAGGTTAGGAATTGAGTAGATTATACCAAAATGTATTGTCTTCAGCAAATCTCATGCTAGCTCGGCACATTTTGCCCACACCAGGCCCCTGTCCAAAAACGAACCTCAGCTCCACCGAACTTGATGGTGGCGGCATTGAGCATTCCACTTAAAGCTCCTCCCCGATGTGCGTGGAGTGGTGGGAGCAAATGGGCCTACAGCCCTCATGGTCATGGTCTGCTGCAGGTTACCATCGTAAGATCGACAATTGCGCTCCGGGGTCTCTCTTGGGAGCCGGTAGTCTCTGGTGGCCGCAGAAGCCGAAGAAACACCCAAACATCTCACATTCATCAACACCCAGCTTTTGCATGCCTTTTGTCAAGGTTCTACTGGCACTCCTTCCGGCAATGCGCCCGCATCGCATACTCAACGCGCCAAAATCCCCACCCAGGCACATTTCACTTACAGTAACGAGTCATCCCACACACTTAGTCACAGGTTCATTCAATTTCATAATCCATGAGAAAAGGCGATGGAACGGTAAGGCGAAGTGCTCTGCTCAGTTGAATCTGGTGAACAAAAGTTTGTGCATGACTGCAGGACGCGGGGGCGGCTCAGTGGCACAGCGGCTGCGGGGGGAGGTTTAGGGAAATAGCATGAGAACCACCATGGAAACAACAAAAAACGCGGAGAAAGTTCACGTGCAGGTATGTTGATCCAGCGTCCCAGCACGCATCCAGTGTCTTCGTTTGTGCAAGACTGGATAGGCTGCTTGCACCCCTGCGTTCTTGAATTCGCGCATGCAAAAGAGAACCCTTTGGAACAGGGGGAGACACACACAGACAGCCGTTATTCCGGCGCAAGTGATTAAGAGTCATGCTGTTGCACTCAGCGGCACGGCTGCATGTTTGGTTGAATTTGACTGTCAGCATTGTTGCCCCGTTGAGGCGGAGTAAAAGCGGTCAGACTGACATGTCCCCGGTTCGAAGGAAGGGCGGTCGGCTGCGCGGCTTTTGGTAAATTGAGCGGTTGGGAGACAAAGGAAGAGTTTCAGCCAGCGTTTTGGTTGTTGTCAAGGAGAGAGGAGAAACAATCCGATATCATAATCCAAGGACTCAAGGCCGCTAAGTCGATATGTGATTCACAATGGTTTGAGCGACCCCTTGCGGGGGATCACACTGCGCCCCCAAGTGGGAAAGCACAGCGAGACACATTCAATTTAGTCACAGGTTCACTCAATTTCATAATCCACGAGAAAAGGCGATGGAACGGTAAGGCGAAGTGGTCTGCTCAGTTGAATCTGTTGAACAAAAGTTTGTGCGTGACTGCAGGATGCGGCAGCGGCTCAGTGGCACAGCTGCTGCGGGGGGAGGTTTAGGGAAATAGCATGAGAACCACCATGGAAACAACAAAAAACGCGGAGAAAGTTCACGTGCAGGTATGTTGATCCAGCGTCCCAGCACGCATCCAGTGTCTTCGTTTGTGCAAGACTGGATAGGCTGCTTGCACCCCCTGCGTTCTTGAATTCGCGCATGCAAAAGAGAACCCTTTGGCACACACACAAAAAAATCCGCCGACCCCACTCGTGGGGTGAGGCGTGACTGTTGATTTAGCCTTAGCCTTAAGCCTTAGCCTTAGACTTAGACCTTAGCCTTAGCCTTACCTACCCTACCCCTCCGGACCCTTGTTGCAGTGACGAAATCTGCCGAAATTCGCAAAGATTTCGCCAAGGTTTCGACAAAATTTCGACAAGATTTCGACAAAATTTCTCCAAGAATTGTCCAAGATTTGTCCATCCCAAGTAATTACATCTTGGGGCACCCTCTCCACCCGCGCGGGAAAATAAGCACGGTCCATCGCGGCGTGATCCCCGCCAATACCTTTGATTTTTCCTAGATTTTGTCACGTTTTCTGTTGGATTTGTGGGATTTTCAGAGGCTTTTCCAACATTTTCCTAGGAATTGGCTTAAAGATTTTCTAGCATTTCCTCTTGTTTTTGGGTTCCCAGATTTCCCCAAAAAATTGCTAACCTATTGCTAACCTATTTTATTCCATTGTTGTACTCGTGCCTATGCCCTTGATTTTTCTTCATTTTCTGTTGGATTTGTAGGATTTCCAACGCTTTTCCAGCATTTTCGTAGGAATGCTCTTGGCTTTGTCTAGATTTTGTTACGTTTTCGGGTGGGTTTGTGTGCTTTTCAACGCATTTTCTAGCATTTCCTCTTGTTTTTGGGTTCCCAGATTGCCCCAGGAAATTGCTAACCTATTCTTGCTTTCACTTAGTGGTATTGTAGTATTTTTTTTTTTTGGGCCTTGGACGAGAAAGCCTTTCAACAAAAGGGGTGAGAACACGAGAATGCTAAATAGTGCACATTTGAAATCAAAGAAAAATGAATACTATTACAATTGAGGATAAAAGCTGTGTGCCTCATACAATTGAAACCATGCTTGTTGAACCTATTTGAGTATGGGCCATGCGTGGAGTTGTAACAATCAATCTTTTTTAATTGGCCATGAAATTACAACCAACACTATTTCCTTATGGAACAAAAATAGCTTCAATGCATTTCACACGAGTTTTGTTCTTTTGGTGCACGAGGTTTGCAAATTGCTGGGGCCACTGGTAGGTTACCTGATTTGAATGGACTTGGGCAAAAGCAGCCATTGGAGGGCTGCAGATGAAGTTAGGTGGCGATAATTAATGCTATCAGTAAATTAAGGGATTGAAGTCACTCAGGCCTTTGGAGTTGTGTCTTTCCTCTCCCATGCCTCTGGAGTGGCAATGGACCTTCCTACAGCACATAACCAGCCAAGTTCCATGTTTAGAAGATCTATCAGCATAATACGGTCTTTTTTATTGATGCATCTTATGAGGTTGAGGGGCATCGATGAGATGGCATTTGATAAAAAACAGCCAAGTGAGAGTCACCATACTTTCCATTGTCATTTCCACATTCAAAGGAAGAGCTTTCGGAAACCGCGCAGGTGATCCCAAGGCTGATTTTTTCTTGCGCGCGCTGCAAAGTCAAAACTTTGTGGCCGAAGCAGCCACCAAATGCCAACATTGCAAAGCAGTCAAGCGGCCGAAGCAGCCACCACTGCCCCAAAGCCGAAGCAGCCATGCTTAGTCCTCATTCTCCAAAGGATCCCAGACTTCATCTTCTTCGTCCTCCTGCTCTTCCTGTGCTCCCTCTCCTTCGTCGTCCTCTGGCACAGGCACTGGCGCGGGCTTTGGCTTTGGTTTTTGCTTTGGCTTGCACTTCGGCTCTGCTTTTGCTTTTGTTTTGGTTTTCGGCGTCGGTTTTGGTTTGGCCTGGGGCTTAGCCTTAGGTGCAGGCTCAGGCGTTGCTGCTGTCTGGACCCCCACAGCTTCACTGTAGGCTGCGCTGAACAAAGGGGAGGTTGAGTCCCGCATGTCCTTTTCCAAAAGAAACATGAGCCTCTCTTCCATGAGGCGTTCGTGCTCCGGATTGTATGCCACGCCGACATACCCGACGCGGTTCCGCAAAGCTGCGTAGGCAAAACGAGCGTCAAGGGGTGTCAGGTCGAACACCATCTTTGCGTAAAAACAATGGAGCAGTTCTTCGTAAAGCTCCAAGGGTGGGCTGTGGAAGGAGACTGGTTCCTTCGCGTTGCTCGCTCGGTCGTTCGGCTTCTCTTCATCCTTAAATTCAGTCTTGCCGCCCACCAAAATTTGATGTTTTTTACCAAAAAGTTCCTTTTTTGTTTTCCAATCAAGCTGCCATTCCTCTGTCCAAGATGGCATCTTCACATTGGTGATCAGATCGCCTGTGGTCGACCCATCAAAGTGCTTCCGGTCCCTGCTGGGAAGGGTCAACTTTTTGGCGCTCAACACATGACACTGCTCCATCTGCTTGATGGTGCAGGTGCCCCTGACTCTTTTCTTTCGGGCTGCCAAAGACTGCTCACTGTATCCAATCTGGAGCAAGTCCACAAACAAGGTCGGTTTGTCATCTTCCTCCTCCCCCCCTTCTTCGCCTTCTTCCTCCCCTTCTTCCCCTCCATCCGCCTTGGAGGCAGTCCCTTCACGCCAAGGTGCCAAGAGCTTGTTTCTCAACCCCTTTTTTCCACCATCAAAGAGCAAAGCCACCTCGCTTACTTGTAGGTGTGGGGTATGCGCATCAGTGGCACCTTTTCGAGCATTCAAAACACTTTTGACCAACCGTGTGTAGAGGGCTTCACGAAAGGTTGCTATCCGAATATCTGGGCGAGTAGTAGGTTCTCCATACTTCTTCAAATCAAAATGGAACAAGGCCATTCCAGTTTGATCACCGCGCAAAGACATGAAGGGAGTTTCCTTCAGAGCTTCTTCCAAGTCAGCATTGGAGCGATGGTCGCTGACAAATCTGACATGTTGTTGCACTACCTTCCGCATGTGTTGCCGCCGCATGGCAGCATCCGAATCGGTAAGAGTGGAGGCCGGAGCAGCCTCAGCAGCGGTGACAGAGGCCGGTGCAGCCTCAGAAGCTTCAGCCTCAGCTGTTTCGGTCTCCTCCGCTTTTTCTTCGACTTGCGGCGCATTTGGTGCTTGTGGTCTTGCCTCTTGTCTCACCAGTGCTCCTAAATTTTCCATGGTACTTTTCACAGATGAGTACGCCAAAAAGTCTTGCACCTCATGCCGATTTTTGATTCCATCTTTGTAGCGACCGTCATACTCTTGTCCATAGATGACCCCTTCCAGGAAAGTACTGATTTCAGAAACGCTGGTAGGAGCCCCCAGCAACCAGGCCGTATCAGCCGTTTGCTGTGGGTATGGAGCAAAGTGCCCACGAACCTTCTCAAACGAGCTGAAAGTTGATTTGATCTTGTTTTTCCATTCCGTGGGCAATTCCAAGGACATGAGCCACTCAGTGAGCAAGTGTTGTAACACCTTTTTTTTCATTTTCAAAACTTCGATGTAGCTCACCCTGGAGTCTTTGAGCTTGCTGATGACAAACACTCCTGCATCTAGAAATGACATCCTCACTCCATCGACCATGCCTTGCAACGCCCAGGCTATCATCTCAGGCGTTCCAGCGCGGTCGATCAAAGCTTGCAAAGCATAGATTGACTTCCACGGGGACACACTAAGCCAATTTTGGTCACACCACTCTAAGACTTGTTGGCACGCAGGTTGCGACAGCAGACGCCTGTGGATAGTCAAGGCTGAATCTACAA